CATCTGGGTCCACTCGGCACGGCGGCCACTGATTGGCCTATTGTAGCCTGCCCCGGGTGATTATGATGATGGAGAATTTGCTGGAATGAAGATTGGCAGGGGAAACCGAAGTACTCTGAGAAAACCCGCCCCAGCGCCACTTTATCCAACACAAATCCCCCTTGACCAGAACATGGGATCGAAGTCGGGCCGCCGCGGTGGGAAGCCAGCGACTAACCGTTTGAGCTATGGCGCGTGCATCAACAAACAAACAAATAAACAAACAACAAACTCCGTGATTTTAGTCCGCAAGCGAACTATTGGGATTCGTTGCGCTGACCATGTGACACACACTATCCGCAAAATCCCATGTGGAATCAACACTGAAACATGTTCAGTATCTAAATTATTTTTAGTAGTGACATAAGATTCCTGTGCTTAAAATTCTTTGCTAATATGTAATTCAAGTGCCATGACTGTGCTCTTCGCACAGTTCATATTTCAAACACTTCTGCAGTGTAGTATCTGGTGAATAATAAAGTGAAAAAACAATATTTTCCGATTAGAGCTTGCTTCCTGTATAACATCTTGCATCCGTTTCATGTGGCCTAGGTTTCACGTGTCAGATTCTGTGATCATCTGTGTTCATGCCGATCAACCTTCTCCACAGTAACTTACACCGTTCAAGAGTTGCTGACAGCCTTTCACGTACGTCATCACAAGTTTTGGTGCTTCCACAGAAAATAGTTCAATAATGACATCAAATCTGTCTTTCATAACTGGCACACATTTCAGTAATTGGGCTGTAATACTTGCGCCAGTACTACCACCCATAGCTGCACAAACATCCCAACTGTATCATTTAATTGCACCGGTAAATCACTATTCATTTCTTCCATGCTATGTGAAGTTCGTCTTTTGGGTTTATTTTCAAGTGCTGTTTCGTTTTCTGGACGAACTGCTTAAGCTACTCCCCCCATTAACTGTTTAAGAAAGCTTTATTTTTTTCCTTAGCTGTGTCATATGCCACATGCTCAGTTCGCTTGTTTTCTTCAACTTCTTTTGAGATATAAAAATTATTTTTTTTACAATTCTGTACTTAAGCATCCTGTTGCAAGCCATACTAAAACATCTATGTATAAGATAGTCCGTGTTATACACACTTTAACACAACATGTTTCGGCCTTAGATGGCCATCTTCAGGTGTTTCAATATATTTTTTCGTAGGATTTTCTTGTTCTAGCATCCGAAGATAAACTGGTACATCCTTCCCAGACTTCTGTGCGAGTAAGTTGGTGATGTCTGCTGTATTTTGCTGGGTACGTGGCCAGAGAGACCTTCCCGACAATGAGGCCGCTGGTACAGTTGCTAAGGAGGCTACCCCCCATGGAATCCTGGCGTCAGAATGAACTCTAGGTACCGACACCCTTACTCATCTTCGTCGCAGGACCCCTTTCCTTGGTGTGTTTTTGCCCTTTCCTCTAGCTGTAAGAATGAATGCGCATTATTTCGGAGTACACAATTTTAAGTCTGTTACAGGCACTGACTGCAAATGTTTTAAATATGACATAATTCACTGGCATTTCAAGAGCAAATACAAACGTGTTGATGTTCAAAAAATTAATCCTATTGATTATTGCGTTATCTTACCTATGTAAGAAAGAGTTCGGACCAATAAAAAGAGGTCGCTTGGTTCCATTAATCATATACCATATAACGCCTTCAAAAACTCGTCAGCTTTTGCTGACCCGTGACACCAGATTTATCACGTCACAAAATAAAAAGTCTGGCGCTTATTAAAAACACCATATCTGGTGGCAGAATCACCACATTGGCAGCCCTGAAGAGACGCACTGCTTTTCATTTGACAATTATATCAGAAGTTGCATTTACATACAATCATCATAACATGGAAATACAAGTGTATACATATAAATCTGGCTAGGTTCAACAGCTTCCTGACATTAAAGTTTTATTTCTGCGGAATTCTAACAATAGATCACTGAGCTCGCGGTGCAAGGGCCAAGAAGGGCAAACCCTTTTACATTCATTCATTCATTCATTCTTTCAAACCTTCCGTACAATACAAAAACAGCCACACGTACGCGTACTTCGGTTAGGTTGGCAAAATGAACATCGATTCGATAACTGTAAACGGGACTAATCGATAGTTCCAGTAACGCATTCTACCGGCAATTGATGTTATTATAAATAAACGAGTTTAGCGGAATTTCGTGTGTCACATGTACGAAGGTTAATGCCTCAATAACTGAACGTAGTTTTTAAATTATATTTTAGTTCAGTTTTATATGCCCCGTTATTAAATTTAATATCTGCTCCACCTGCTAACTTCTAAAGGTGGGGAGGCTCAGCAGTGATACTGTCAATTTACTCGTGTAGAAGGTGTGTCATGAGGCTAAGCTGGAAAAGTGTTATAATTTTTACAGTTGTATATATTATAATTACTTTGGTGACATTATATAGATTATATAGTGACGTCATTTTCAGATTAAAATCAAACGGTAAGTTCAAAGGTAGGAAGCAGTTCGTCACTGATCAGAGTGGTGTAGTGGTAATTCTCGTAGACTTTATGCGGGAGGTTCGAATCCCTACCGGAGCGCCGACTATCCTGATAAGTTTTGCATGATTTCTCTCTGTTCCTCCACGCAGAAACTGGTTTAGTATTTCCAACAGTGCAGTATCGCTTCGTTCCACGTTTTTTCCAAATTATTATTCAGCAATATATATATATATATATATATAATTTCATCCAGCACCTCGAAATACATGAGCTTGTATGTGGGACCACACAACAAATTAGAATCACAAGACGGAAACACAGCAGTTTTCACCAACAATTTTAAACACCTGATGATGACCAATATCGGTCGAAACATATAGTGCAATTTACATAAACTTTTAAGTAAAGTTTAAAAAGATTCGTGTGATGTAAGAAACTTTTAAAGCTTTTAAATAACTTTTATGAGGACGCATTATAAGTGAGATGGTGAATCAGTGTATTTTGTTGAATAATGCAGTTCATAGTTTCTTCAGTAGTTTATGAATATTGACTATTCTCTTGTGCTTTAGAACTGAACTTTTTAAAGACACCTTCATTTCTGTCTAATCTTCCCAATGTTTATTAATTGCAGAATTTGTCTTCAAAGCCTATAAAGACTAAGATGTTAAATTCTTGTGTTTGCAGGCAACATCCATTACCAGGAAGCCCATGATGCCTGGATGAACACTTCTGAGTTTGAGAGTGTTCCTCAAGAAAGAAATATATATAAACCAGTAACATCTCCATACACAGTTGAAATATGGGGAAAAGCAGCACTCGGCCTTTATCTCTGGAAGCATGTGTTAGGCGGGAAGCTTCAAAATGTGCAGAATGGATTCATTCAGCAGGGATATTTAACAGTAAATGATGTAACTTTCATATATCGCTCTGGGCCCGGAATAATTCAGACAACAGTCCCAAGTGATGTTCAGTATTTGATTCTTGTACTGAATGGGCGCTCAGAAGAGAAAATTAAGTCTGCAAAACTATGGTTAGATTATTTACCGTTGTATCCGAATTTAAAAAAAATGGCTGTTGTCCTTCTTGGAAATGAGATGTGTGATAATAACTGGATTCTTCCATATGTCCATTCCCGTGGCGGTAGAATTGATTTAGTATTCCTCGTGTATGATTCTCCACTGATTGACAATGTGGAGTTTTATCAGTGGCCTTTAGGAGTTGCTGTGTAAGTATTTTGTCTCTGCTTTCTTAATATTTGGTTAATGTTAGCTGAATGAGCTATGAAGGTTATTAGGAGTGCTCACAGGAATGAATGATAGGAAAATTGCAAGGGAGAGTCAGTAAATATGTCACAAATTGATATAAAACCTAAAACATGTGATATTTGAACCTGGAAAGAACATTTCTTGATATATCCTCCACCAACACTGATATGTTTGTCCCGTCGCGTTCCCAGTGTGTCAGATATGTTGGGTTAATCACTTGTGCATCTCCCTTTTAACCTTTTCATCATTAGCAAAACGTTTTCCACATTTTTTGACCCAGTTGTGTACCGCTTTACATAACAAACACTTCCCACCGTAAACAAGAAACGTTATTGTGTGAATATCCTTTGCATTGAGTCCTTTTACTCTCAAAAAATGCACAACAAAATACTGCTCTTCGGTAGCACACTCCTTAGCCACAGTCATCATTTTGACTACTGAAACCAGGGTTTGAACATGCACATCTGTTAACCAGAATGTAACAACAGTCTATTTACTGTATCACCCTCGTATCTGGGCTTTAAGCAGGTATGTACCATTTGAACTTTGTCCACTGATTGATGGGTCTACCAATCACCCAATAGTGTGAAGGACAGATTATGGCATAATTTTCCTAGGAATAATCCAATTTAACTCTGATAATGCTAACTGAAGTGAAAAATAAAGGGAAATTAAAATGGAAATGTTTGTGTTTGTATAGTTTTTGAGAGCACTCAGGATCTCACTCAAGTGATGTTACTGATTAATCTGAATGTTATAAAATCTTGCTTTATACTATGAGAGAGGTTCATGGAAGTTTTATAAACTTGTTTCAGGTACCGGGGGTTTCCTAATGTAAACCCAGAGAGTGTTGATGTAACTTCTCCTCGTTCGCATGTTTGCAATTTTTTGGGCACTGTCTATGAAAACTCTTCTCGTGAAATCTTGTCAAGGATAATAAAATCTATAGATTTTCATGATAACTGTATCATTTTAGAACGAAAAAGGTAAGCATTGTTACCTTTAGTTCACTGGCTATGGTTTGTATTCATTATATAGGCCTGTAACAGGCCGCGGAGGCCCATAGGGTTGTGAGATGTTGGGGCTCCCACGTTTTTCTAGACAATCGGCTCATAGATAGTGGTAAGGTTGTCAGCCCTACGTGCCAGCTGCCCTTTACCCCCCCAGGAATATTCCTGCTACTCATTTCTGTTAGAGGGTGAGTTGACCCCAGGGTCATAGTGAGGCTGGAAGGATTAGATAAATTGAAAAAAAAATCCAATGACCTTCTGGCTTGTAGCATAGTGCCCCAACCAACTACGCTACCGTGTGCCCCTCATGTATGTCTGTAACTGAACATTTTTCTGTCAGCAAATTTTGGTGGAAGGTTTCCTTCGTATCATCATCACTGGCACGACAGCCCTTTGTGAGCCCTGGCCTTCCTCAGGATTGCTCGCCATTCTTCTCTATTCGATGCTACATTCCTCCAGTTCTTTACACCCAAAATTCTTATGTAATGCCACACACACATTCTTCCCATCTTAACCTTGGTCTTCCCACTCTCCTATTTCCTTCTGGTTTAGTATTTTCTTGATGGTTTTATTCTCGCTGGCACGTACTGTGTGTCCAGCCTTTTCAAGCCTTTTCACCTTTATAAATCCAATAATGTCTGGTTCATGTGTAGCTCATGGTTATACCTCTTCCTCCATATTCCATTTTCTTCCACTGGTCCAAAGATATATCTCAAGATCCTTTCAAATATACTTAACAGTCTTTCATCCGATCTTGACAGTGGCCACGTCTCAGAGGCACAAGATAGCACTGATCTTATAAGTACTTTATACATCATAGTTTTGGTTTTCCCGGGTATTAATTGGGATTTCAGGTGTTTCCTAAGGCCATGGAGACATTTATTTGCTGCAAGTACACACTTTTTTATTTCATCACTGATATCATTTTTACAGTTAACTTCTGATCCAAGGTAAGTGAAACTACACACAGCCTCAAATTTATATGAGCCAATTTCAGTATATGCAGGTCCATTGGCACAGTCTTTCTTGGTTACCGGTGTGTACTTTGTTTTATTTTGGTTAATTTGTAGATTCATCTTTTTTGCTGCTCTTTCCAAATTAAGAAAAGCTTTTTTCATAGATTTTTGTGTTCTACCAATTATATCAATATCATCTGCAAATGCCAAAATTTGCACTGACTTATAAAATATAGTTCCCCTTGTGTTTATGCCTGCATCTCCAACTACCTTCAACATGGGAAGGTAGAAAAATATAAAAAAATGGTTATATTAAGCATACAGCGGTATATGGACTTCTGCTGTTCATAGATGACAGTNATGAATCTTAATTCGGCATTGGGTCTTTCTCATAGTGGCTCTGACTAAGGCGATTAACTTCTGTGGAATGTGCATCTCTTCCATTGCCAGAAAAAGACTATCTCTATCTGTGGAGTCATAGGCTGATCGGAAGTCAATGAAAAGATGATGTGCTTCAATTTGGGATTCATTACACTTTTCAAGGACCTGTCGAATAGTGAAAATCTGATCGTTAGTTGATCTTCCTTGATGAAACCCACATTGGTAATCCCCAATTATGCCTTCCACAAAGGGAGAGAGTCTGTTAAATAGAATGTTGGAAAATATTTTATATGCTATGCACAGCTCTATAATTAGAGCATACCATGACATCGCCTTTCTTATGGATAGGGCATACAATACTTAGGTTCCATTCCTCTGGGATTATTTCAGTTATCCATATCTTAAGTATTAGCTGATGTAAGTGCTTGGCATATTCTGGGCCTGCAAATTTCACTAATTCTGCCGTGATGAGATCCATTCCTGGAGCTTTATTATTTTTCAATTTTTTGATAGCTTGTTCTACTTCTTTTATGGTCGGCGCTGGCTCTTCAGCCTCAAAATTTCCTTGATTCCGGTCTATGGTCATACCTTCCACTTGTTCAGTGGCATTACTATTTAATAATTCCTCAAAATATTGTGCCCATCTTTCCAGTATTGCTTCATCGCTACTCAATATTGTGCCTTCTTTATCTCTACATAAGTTTGTTCTAGGTTGAAAGTCCTTTCGACTCTTGTCTAGTTTATGATAAAACACTCTAATTTCGTCCGAACTTCTTAAATGCTCCAGTTCAATCAGTGCTTGTTTATCATATTCCATTTTCTTCTTTTTATGCAATCTTTTTTCTTTTCTTCTCGCTTCACGGTATTCTTCCACGGCCCTTCGAGTATGGTTTCTTTGCTGCGTTCTCTTACATGCCTGTTTTTTTTTTTATTTGTCACCTGCTCACACTCTCCATCAAACCAATTCTTATACTTTATCCTTTCCATTCTTCCTAAGACTGCACCAGCATCATTTATAATAACATCTCTGAGGCCCTTCCAAGCTTCACTGACATCCTCGCTATCAGAGAGACCTGCCAGGCATTCACCACCAGTATATGTGGTTGCAACTCCCTGTTCCACCAATTTTCCACAATTCAGTTTCTTAGCCTGGGGTCCATGTATCTTCCTTGCATTAGATATTCGACTTCTAATCTTTGATATTATTAAGTAATGATCAGAGTCAGTGTTGGCCCCCCTGTAGCTCCTGACATCCATCAAATCTGAACAATGCCTTACGTCTACTAGGATATGATCAATTTGATGAAACATGTTTCCATCAGGGGATTTCTAGGTTCGTTTAGGTATATCCTTATGATTAAACATTGTACTACCTATTACCATGTTTCTTGTGGACGCAAAATTTATTAATCTCATCCCATTATCACTTGACTTGTTATGTAGGCTATGTTTTCCAATAACCGATCTATATACATCCTCATTCCCCACTTTGGCATTCATACCCCTTATGATTATTTTACAATCCCTTTTTGGACATTCGCCATATATTTCATCCAATTCATCATAAAAGGAGTCTTTCTCCTCATCACTTTTATCTTCAGTTGGGGCATGTGCACAAATAAGGCTATAGTTAAAAAATTCGTAGCCTACATGTTCTGTGAGATTTTGCCTGGAAGTCTAAAATAAGATGCTTCCTTTATTTAATAACAATAAAAACTGTTCCAAACATGTGTCTCTTCTGACAGCTATAGAATACAACATGATCCCTCTTTTCCATTACTCCTATATGCAACCACCTCAGTTCTTGTATAGCAGTGATATCTAGTTTAACTTGTCTCATTTTGGTCCGTCACACTATCAATTACAGAGTAGATAATGACTGAAGGACTTCAGGACTGAAGTGTTGTAAACTCGTATGTCACACTGGACTGAACTTTTCATTATCTACTCTGTTGCTATCTAGTTGTTCAAGTAGCATTTTTAGTGCTCCGGCTCTGTAAAGAGATAGTACATTCCAAGATCCAATTCTCAAATCCTTTAAACATTTTCAAGGTCGTCTTGAATAGGTCCGTCCGGCTACTCTTTCCTCAGATTTCTGAACAATTTAGTTTTTACAGTGTAAGGTCGTTAGCCTCACCCCCAACCCCCAACCTGGAGGACCAGGGTATCCCTCTCTGTCTGGCTCCTATGCCTTGACCTGTGCAGCATGGGTGGCCCTACCAGTAGCTGTGCTACCGCCAGCATAGCTCTCAGGGTCTCAAACCCCACCACCACGATAAGGTGGGGTTTCCTTCGTATAGTCATACATAAATGAAACACTCAGAAGTAGATCGCCGGTCACGGTAGCCGAGGGGTCTAAGGCATGCACTCTCTTCGCTCGCTCGGAAGCCGGGTTCGAATCCCACTCAGGGCACTGATGTTGGTGTGCGTTTTTCTGTGTTTGTGTACAGGTAGAGGCCTTGCGATGAGCTAATCACCCACCCAAGGAGTCCTACCATATGTCTAAGATCTAGTAAACCGAAGTGAAACGGAGAGTTTCATGGAGGTAGGCCTAGGCCAAAATGAGGGCTGTAGCGCCAATGAAGAAAAAAAAAAGTAGTAGATCATTCATTCATTGATTCATAATCTGTCAGACAACTGGTGCACAGTCTCTTCCAAAACAGTTCCTCCACTTAATGCGATCTAGAGCTTTCTCCTTCAAATGAGAATATCTTCTTCTGTCCCCAAGGTCATCCAACATCTTCTTACGTCTTCTTGTCACTTCTATCTGCCCCTCTATCTTTCCTTCAGTAACTTCTTTTAGAAGTCAGTTTCTGCGTAAAACATGCCCAATCCAATTAGCCTTTCGTTTTCTTATTTCGTGTAGGATATTCCTCTGCTCACTGACTCAAAATACTACTACTTCATTTCTCACACAATCGGTCCAACTGATCTTCTCCATCCTTCTCCAACACCACATTTCGAAGCTTTCCAGGTGTTTCTGATCTATGACCCTACATGTCCCAAGTTTCAGCCCCATACGTAGCATTTCAGTAGTAGTAAATTATTAGTAAATAATTATGAAGGTGGGGGACTTACTGAATTGTTACTTTATATTGGCCATTGAAAATTGATATGGGCTATGTATGGCTACAGTGTAGCTACCCTTAGTGTTTCATGTTGCCAGCAGATAGAACTACAGTTGCTTTATTTGTTCTGCAAGTGCTCACCAAGTGTGTTATATATGAATTCATGAATAGAACCCGTGTAGAGAGAAAGAAAGGGAGAGTCATGAATACCAAAAAACTCTGATGTAATTCATGAGCAGTTGTATGGCATGTGCCTTAGCTTCCACATACACCTGGTACATGAATTTGAATGTAGCAAATAAAGTGAAGAGCAGAGACAGACAAAACTTTCTATAATTTAATTGCTGTGTAACTGGGATCCTTATAAAGACACATTCCGTGAATATCTTTGCTACCATAAAGTATTCTTACTATGAACATGATGGAAATGTATGCAGTTCGATTTAATGTACACTGGTTATTCATTTTCTAGGTGGCTTCCATTGGAAACTGAAGACTCACTGAAGTACTACATTGATTCATTACGTAAATCAGATCTTACATTATGCCCAGTAGGAAAAAACACCGAATGCTACAGGATTTATGAAGCTATGACCTTGGGAAGTGTACCAATAATTGAGAACTTACGAACAGATGGAAACTGTGACACTTCAGATGTGGCTCCGCTAAGACTTCTGAAGCGGTATGATGCACCCGTAATCTATGTGAAGAGTTGGTATGAATTACATGAACTTCTTAAACAAGAAGCTGAACTTACACTCGAAGAAAAAGTTGAAAGAAGGACAAATGTTGTGAAGTGGTACAATAGCTTTAAGAGGAAACTGAGTAATCATTTTATTAAAGTGATTAAACACAAGTTTTTTGCTGATAAAGAGACATAATTATTTTTTTTTAATTCGCTTAGTGGGGGGTGGATTCCAACTGGGTCCACTCCGCACAGTGGCCATTGATTGGCCTATTGTAGCCTGCCCCGGGTGATTATGATGACGGAGAATTTGGTGGAATGGCGATTGGCAGGGGAAACCGAAGTACTGCGCTTCCCCGGCCCAGTGAAGTGCACATATTTCATTTGAAAATATCAGAAAGGAAAATAAAAAAGATTGTTGTTAGAGGAAGGGGTACCGTACACACTAAAATGGTATCATATTTTGGGATAGAGTATACATTCCATGTATTTAGAGTGTGATGTAACTTATATTTTGGACAATGACATAACCCCCACCCCCAAATTAAGGTACGTAACCCATAAATGAATCAAACGGCTATTCTGTTTTATGGCTTTTGCCTTTACTGCACTAATATCTCTCATGTATTGAATTGGAATTGTGATTACACCATGATTATTATCAAGAGCAATGTATCTGTATGCCCATACATGTTTCAACTGCTTTCATCACCCATTCCATATGTGGGGAGCTGAGCATCCATAATCAATTTCATTTCATATTCACCATTACATAACCTCAAGAAACTGTTACAGCCTCGTTAGGTAACATAAGAAACAAATTAAATCACGTTACTCGTGATCACTTGTATTTAAATTTAAAAGCTGGACAGAACCTTATCTGAGATTGTAGTGGAAGCAGGCAAGATACGAAGACCAGAAAACTTCATGTAGAGCTATGGTTCTGAAACTTTTCGTACTTGGTACCCCTTGAAACAGACGAATGCCTTGACACCTAAAAAGAACATGACTTCCATTTTTTTTTTGATGCTGCAATGGCATAAATTGACAATCATCACCTATCAGTTTCAATCTAGGTTGATCCAAAATAATATTAGCGCCTATACATAGGAGTTTTTCTTTTTAATTCGCTTAGTTGGTGGCTCCACCTTATCGTGGTGAGGGGGTTTGAGTATGCCAAGGACCCGGAGAGCTATACCAGCGGCAGCGTAGCTACTGGCAGCGCTTCCCTTACTGGACAGGTCAAAGGGTAGGCATCAGACGAAGAGAGACACCAAAAACCAAAAACTGATGCCGGAAGCAGCGTCATCAATAGCGACTTGAAGTACAGAGCAAATGGTGCTCGAGATGGTTCAAGGTCGTATAGCAGCAGGCGTGACCAGAGTGGTTTGAACGGCTTTGTACTGCGATGTGGAAAGCAAATGGAAAAACTACCACATTATCGCTTCCTGGATAGTCTCTTTCCAAAAACAGAGACACCATGTATGCGAGATGTTTCCTCTGGAGACAAAACAATCCAGAGGTAAACTACCCCCCAGTCGGATCTCCGGGGGGGAGTGTTCCTAGAGGAAATGGCATGCAGGCGTTACAACAAGAAAAAGTGAGAAGACCAGAAGAAACATCACGGCTACATGATTGGAACATGGAATGTAAGGACCTTGAATGAAGCAGGCAAATTGGAGAATTTGAAAACGGAAATGCAGAAGAATAAGGTGTCTGTTCTAGGTGTCAGCGAAGTGCGATGGAAAGGACAAGGCGAAATAATAAGTGGTGATTATACAGTGTATTATTCTCGAGGTGAACGGGCTGAAAGAGGTATGGCAATAGTGGTGCATAAAAGTGTAGTGAGGAGTGTTGTTAAGAAGATTGTTTGTAATGACAGAATTATTGCTCTGAAGTTAAAGGCGGAACCGGTAGATATACTGATTATGCAAGTGTACATGCCAACATCAGAGTATGAAGATGATGAAGTGGAAAAAGTGTATGACACAATTGAAGAAATTCTTCAGGAAGATGGAAGAGGTGACACAAACAGCATCATATTGGGAGACTGGAACAGCACTGTTGGAGATGAACCGTATCAGAATATTGTTGGATCACATGGACTAGGAAGACCGAATCACAGGGGTCAAATGCTTATTGACTTTTGTGAACGAAATGGACTGATTGTCACCAACACTTGGTTCAAGAAGCCAAAGAGAAGAATTTACACATGGAAGGCACCTGGGGATTGGAAGAGGCATCAGCTGGACTACATCCTTGTGAAACATCGATTCAGAAACAGTGTGAAGGATGTGAAGACGCTTCCTGGGGCAGATATTGACTCTGACCACAACTTACTGGTTGCCAAGTTTCGAACCAGGTTGAAGAAAATTATAAGATTCCAAAAGCGCAGACCTAGATGGGATTTGGAGAAGTTATATGCTCACAGACAAATCGTGGAGGAGACCCTAGAAGAGAAACTCAGTGCAATTGAAAGTGAAAGCGGAAATGCTGAAGTGCAGTGGAACAATATAAAAGAACGCATGTTAGGTACTATGAGTGAATTGGTTGGTAAAGTTGAGAAGAGAGCAAGAAAACCATGGGTTACACAGGAGATGATGAGTAAGTAAAATGGAGGAGCGAAGGAAATGGAAGAATGTCAACAATGAAGAAGGCAGGAGGAAATACAGGAGACTGAGGAATGAATTGAAAAGAGCCACGGACAGGGCCAAAAAGGAATATCTTGAGAAGATATGTAATGAGATTATAGAATTTCAAAGGACAGGATGTTATGATTTGATGTACATGAAGACAAAAAAACTTTATTGTATTTAAGCATCCTGTTGCATTCTATACGATATATGATATAAACTCTGTCCTAATTGCAACAATTTATTGTTGGTCTTTCGTCTTGCTTTCTTCTATACTACATGTTTCGGCCGCAAACGGCCATCATCAGGTTTATACACTGACATAGCTGTTACACTGTACTTTGTTCAAGATTTAAAAACACAGGTTTTCCCAATTGTTAACTTCGTCGTTGCTAACAGAATCTAACTTCGCTGATATTTGTCTGATTCGTACATTATCTTTGTTAATATTGTAAACAGTTGTCACACAAAAAGCATTTATAAATATATGAATTGTAAACGGAAACTGTTACACTGCAACGCTAACATAAAATTTAACAAAACCTGTCTGAAGGAAAAGCTAGTACCAAAATATGCGTACGTGAAAATAACAACAAACAATGAAGCGGCTAAGAAAACACAAATACAGGCCCAAACCTTACGCATAAAAAATGAAATTAAAAAATTTATATAAAAAGAAACAACACTTAAATACACAACTCTATCACATTCATATACACAATGAAACACACATGGCAACGAACATGGAATAACATCGAACAATCAATAGAAGAAAAGTCACAACAAGATATGGAAACAACATATCTAAAGCAGCAACAAAAATAAATAATATGATGAAAACACAAAATATAGATATAACAAGCAAAAACATACAATACACGAGAGTAGTGAATCAAACAAATATACAATTCTCACACGAAGAAACCCAAATACTAAGTAAAGGCCTTAAATATAATCTACATCACAATCACCTGTAATACATACCTGTATATTACAGATAACACCTGTACAGTGCTGAAAACAAAAAGTAGCCGCTGCATCACTATAGACATAGGGCGGGTAACCCTGAGAATTTTAAATTTTAAAATTTGGAAAAAATTTAGAGGAATTTTTTAAAATTGAAACTGAAGATTTTAAAGGTCAAAATTGTCGTGTGGGGGTAAAAAAGATAATGTACGAATCAGACAAATATAAGCGAAGTTAGATTCTGTTAGCAACGACGAAGGGAACAATTGGGAAGACCTGTGTTTTTAAATTTTAAACTAATTGCAGTGTATACACCTGAAGATGGCCGTTTGTGGCCGAAAAATGTAGTGTAGAAGAAAGCAAGACGAATGACCCACAATAAATTGTTGCACTTAGGACGGAGTTTATATCATATAACAAAAGAACTAGGTTCAAAATATGGGCATCGAAGACTCCCAGGGGAATAGAATAGTAGATCAGAGGCAAATGCTGAAAATTTGGGAAAATTATATTACAGAACTATATGATCGACCTAATCGGCCAGAAACCTTGGAAGTGGAACCGGAAAAAGAAGTAGATACAGACGAGGAAGGACAATATATTTTACAAAGTGAGGTGGAAAAAGCTATCAAGGGCATGAGGAATGGAAAGGCTACAGGAGATGATGATGATGATGTACCTCGAGATGTGCTTAAGTTACTGGGAAAAGGTGGTTTGAAAACACTGACAAAACTAATGAACACCATATATGTAACTGGGGAGTGGCCTAAGGACTTTACAGAAGTGACAATGATTGCCTTAAAGAAAAAGACAAACGCTACAAAATGCAGCGACCATCGCACAATAAGCCTTATTGCATATACAGTAAAGAACCATAAAGAAAAATTGTAAGGAAAATAGAGGATATACTTGGGGAGGATCAGTTTGGATTTAGAAGAGGAAAAGCAACCAGGGATGCAATTGGAGGATGAGAATTATAGCACAACGAACTTTGGAGATAGATGAAGAACGGTGTGCTTGCTTTATAGACTGGCAGAAGGCATTTGACCGTGTAAATTGGACCAAATTAATGCAGATTCTAAAGGAAACAGACATCGACTGGCGTGAAAGAAGATTGATTAATAAATTGTACATGGATCAGAAAGTTAGAGTGCGACTGGACAGAGGGGAGACAAGAAGTGTGAAGATTGGAAGAGGAGTTTGACAAGGATGCTGTTTATCACCAATTATTTTCAACTTGTACAGCGAATGCCTTACCAAAGAAGCTCTGAATGGGCTTGGAGACTTCAAATTAGGAGGGCAAATTATTCAAACTGTGAAATATGCAGATGACCTTGTGTTAATGGCTAAGGAGGAAACTGTGCTACAGGGTATGATTGATAGACTAATCGAAATTGGAAGGTGCTATGGCATGGAAATGAATGTGGAAAAAACAAAAGTAATGAAAATTTCGAGATAACCAACTCCAGTCACAATGATGATAGACCAAAAACAACTGGAGAATGTGAAATGTTTTAAATATTTGGGTAGCTTGTTAACAGATGATGGAAGGTGTACGTGTGAAATTAAATCTAGGATTGTCATGGCAAAAGCTGCATTTAGCAAGAAAAAGAATCTTTTTACTAGCAAATTGGACTTCAATTTGAGAAAAACTATTGAAATGCTA